AAAAAAAAAAAAAAAAAAAAAAAAAAAAAAAAAAAAAGACTACCCCGGTAACTTAGCATCTAGGGAGACCTTATCACAAAATTTAAAATGAAAAAGTGATAGGAATATAGCTCAGTGTGAAAGCCCTGGGCTCACCAGTACTGGAAAAAAAAAAAAAGTAATCATCTTAAGTAGACAGCTTGGTCAGAGATTGTTAGTTCTTTCCAATTTGCAGCATTTCCTCCACTTTTCAAAGAAGTTCTAAGATTGTAATGCTGGATACAAATACCTCTATATGATAAAACTGTATCTCTCTCTCTCTCTCTCTCTCTCTCTCTCTCTCTCTCACACACACACACACACACACACATAAATACAAGTAAAGATGGAAGTAAGTATGCTCAGTATATCGTATCAGTGTCAATATCCTGGTTGTGATATCACACTACAGTTTTGCAAAAGGGATAACTGGGTAAAGCATATTTGAGAGCTTGTAGTACTAATTCTTACAACTATGTGTGAATCTACTCCTATCTCAATAAAGATCTCAAGAAAAATAACTGGAAGGGGGATTCTGCTTCTGCTGTTGGGAATGCGCTCCTTACAAACAGACTTTTCATCAGTTACTCTGCACAACCTGCACAACATAATGATCCTCCCCCCAAACAAAAATGAAACACATTGTCTGGAGCTCAGGAGACTCTAAAGAAGCTAAGGGACTTTGGAAAGAAGTCAAGAGTCAGAACAAGCAATCAGCAAAAAATGGACACTCTGCTCATTTATATATTTGTTTTGCAGCTCTACTGTGAGCTCAGACAGTCACAGTGGCAGGTAGGACTGATAGAAAAGCATTCTTCCTAGTTGCAGGAACCAGGGTGAGGAACCCAGGGAAATCAGTGAGGGACTGGACAGCCACAGCAGAAAAGCCAGAGAAGCAAGCCCCAATTCCTTGTATAAACCAAGCATGATTCCAGCCACCTTCTGAACCATAAATGTACAAGATAAACTGAATGCAGCTAAGGTTAAAGAAGTGATCCAAGACGAAATCCACTGTTTGCTACTGGAGCTTCTGGGTACAATCTGAGTCAAAGTACAGAATCATCAACATTTTCCATGGCAGGACACAAATGAGGGTGTTGATGAAGAGTGAGGAAACATGCCCCACTTTGGGGGACTAAACATGCAAAAGAAAAATTCAGTGGATTTGAACCACCCAATCTGAAAAAGAGAACAAAGTGGAACAAACAAACAAACACACGTAGAAGATGTATTGGAACAAGTTTTAAAAGGCACCAGGAAAAAAGGTGACAGCCTGGGGAACAAAAAGAAATTATTAACAGAAATAATAGTCTACAACTCCCCAACTCTGGCAGAAGGCATAAACATTCTGAGCCTAGAATTCAAGAGCTCCAAAAAGGGGTTAAAAAAAAAAAAAAAGAAAATCTTGGACAAATTTAAGATAAAAAATATTGCAGGTCACCAGAAAAAATACATGCTATATGCAAGGAAAAAATAAACTTGACATGCAGGGTACTTCTCACCAGCCAGTATGAAGGCTGAATGACACAAGGTAGCATCTTTACTGCAAGCAAAAAACAAGAACAAAACGAAACAAACCGCAGGCCCAGAATTCTATAGTTAGCAAGATCATCCTT